TTCTTCAGATTTATGGACGCCATATTTTTTTTATTTTCGGAAACTTGAACTTGAACTTATCCTGACAGATTTTAAGTGTTAATGGGCTGTCCATTATTTGTGGGGGTGTGTTGGTGTTGGTGAAGGAAGAGATGGGCGATAAATTGGGGAGGGGGGAGGAGGGGTGGTTGGGTGGGGTCTTGGCCTTGAAATGTCTATAAGGCTGAAAAGGCGTCTTTTAATAATGTTGAGTTATTTTTGAGTTATTGAGGGAGGGGGAGTGGGTCCTTGTAATCAATACCAACGATCAATTATCCGCCGAAAATCACAATTAACGAGGTGATATACCAAATAAAAACAGCAACAAGAAGTGGACGAGTGCTGCTACCTGTAGAAGGTGTCTAGATAATATGCCGCATTATGCAGTCCGCGATATACCGCAAAACCTCTTGTAAAGGAAATAAGTTTTTCTTTGCTAAAAATGTTAAATTTTCAAGACGGCATCTTTTATAATTTCGATATTTATCCTTTCATTTTCTCTTGATCAAATCTATTTTATTGATTTATGTTAATTCCACAGCCTTCCTGTGGATCAATTCACTTAAACAATCTTAAAATCTCTCCGCCCTTCACGCGCAGTTGAGTGGCCGGCATGCAGTAGCCTTATCCATCACTCAATGGATTGAATTTTTTGTTCCTCAGTCCGGCTCCTCAACCTTCTGCAGTTTCTAGACATCCGACTGGGAGTGACTTTCAAATATMAAAAGCAATCGGCCAAAACGACCTTTGTTATTGTACCGACCTTGGATGTAGAATGATGTCTGTTACTAGCCAAAAATCTGATTCTTTATCCCGTCAAAGGTATATGTTAGTGTTCTCTCTGTTTGCTTTGRCAAAATGGCAATTTCAGTAGATATATATACTTCAATGTAAATATTCTGATTGTCCCTTCTCAAGAGCAATGAAATATTTCTACTTTGTTACATTTTCTTCTACAAACAAATCGTCTAAAGGCTTTCAACTGGACAAACACAACTCTCATTATGTGTCCATCCTGTTCCAGCCGCCATTTTGAAGGGTGACCGCGTTTTTTTGATAGCGCGGGGAACTGGGGTCATGTACGATGGTGCTGWTAGACTTATAGTATAATTTGTATTTTGATAATAAATTATTATTAGTATTAATAATATCTCTGTAAACCATCTCATTAACGCCTCATTTCCGTATCATATAAACTGATTGCGATCAGAGAGGTTTTGTGTYCTTCATACATAGTTCTCTGAGCCACGATCACAGTGCCGTTAAAGAACCAATTTACCAATATATGATACGATGAAGAATTGCTTCTTCCTTCAATCCAAACTTACCTTTCTTCTCTAGAAATGCTGCCTTACCAAAAGAACTGTTTTCTTTCCTTTGAATCGGTGAAAATAACAGATTGTTAGCTATCTAGTGTGTTATGAATGAGCTACAGCGGTGTGTCAGAAATTCATTAATCCCTATCATATTGTTTTTGTACCATCCATCACGAAAGCTTTGAATGAGTTCGCCATGCTTAACGTCCTTACTGCCGTGTGTTCGGATGAGATTTTTGTAGAAAAGAAGATTGTATGTTACTTTTGATCGCGTTATTTTTGATTTTCGATTTTGAAGTCAGGACTTTCGTTATCTGAGTTCAATTGCCGTGGTGTTTTGTTAGGACTGTTTGTTGTTATTTTGTGCTGTTTGGATATTACAACAATGATGATGTTTTTTCCTTTATTTTAATTAACAAAGAGAACAAAAATGAAATGAAAATATGCTATATTAAAGTCTTCATTTCTTAAAGGAACTTATCTAAATACTTATTTAGATAAATTTAATATGTAAAAATCTAGTTAAMAGTTTTAGATTTTCGGCTCCTTTCTAAGTGCTAATCCATTTTTTCATAACCGGCATAGAATTGATAATGGGTTTTTTCATGTTATTGTTTCTTGTGATATTTTACACTATTCCCATTAATTTGTAGATCTCTTAGTTGTCGTGAGAGATAGCGTCAAGCCCTCGAGGTAAAAAAAGTTTGTTACCGAACACAAATTGTCATTGTCGTTATTACCACAGAACACATGAACACTGCATTATTAAATCAACTCTTATTGGTTTAATTGTTGCAATGATGTACGCTATTTTCCTGTGTAAATTMACAGCTCGTTAAGTACGTACGAACTCTRTGGGTTTGATTTATAAACTCWRTWYTMTATA